ACACACATTATTATTTTATAAGTAAATTGAAGAGTTGTTAGCAATTTCATAAGTATATTGACGACAATGTTTTATAATTCATGAAATTTATCTTAAGGGATCGAGGACAATAAATCACAACTCTAGGGTGTTTTATCTCTAAATCTTAATAATGTTTTCTTATATTCTACTTCAATTATTTGACACTCTCTCAAATCAAATTACATTTCTTCAAACTACTAGAAACCATAAATAAGTTGGCAATTGCTTGAACCTTGTCTTTTGGGTTCGATATTTGGACTTTGTCCATTGTTATTATCGTAGTAAAGTACATTTGCCTTGACTTAAGACCTTGGGAATGACTGTGAATGAGAAATTCCTTGTACATTTTATTCTTAACTTATTGTCAATTAAGTATGGCCCATTTCAAATGAGCTATAATACTATGAAAGACAAATGGAATGTGCATGAATTGCACAATATATGTTAGTTCATGAGGAAACAAGACTTAAGAATCAAGAAAGTCACTTAGTACATTATGTAAGCCACCAAGAAAATCAAGGAGCTAGAATGAAAATTGTAAAGAAACATGATAAGGGCCAAGTGCCATTAAAGATTAATGAGGAATATGTGCAAATCCAGAAGAATGCATTAAAGAGTAATAATTGTCATTGATACGGGGAATTTGGACATTTCCAAAAGGATTTCCCAAAACATGAGGCTTGGTTCGAAAAGAAAGGTAAGCTTAATATTTATGTATCTTTTGAATGAAATTTAACTGAAGTTCTTTGAATTCATAAGCCCAAATGAAAAGTTTATCTTCATGGGAAAAAAGTGGAAACTCCAATGGAAGCAGTTGAGACTTATTATTTAATCCTTAGCACTAAACACCATTTAGATTTATTGGATCTTTATTTACCTAGTTTATCTAGGAATTTAGTTTATCTAAACTTGATGTTAGTGGATACTTTTTTAATTTTGGTAATGGATATTTTAGTTTATTTAAGCATAATCATTTCATAGTACTAGTATCCTTTGTGATGGATTATATAAATTGAATTTAGTTGATTTGTATGCTAAAACTTTTAATTTTGCATCATAATTTAGGTACTAAACGTAGTTTGGTAAATGAATATTTTGCTTTCTTATGGCATAAATGTTTGGGTCACAGTTCTAAAGATAGAATGGAAAGATTAATAAAGAATGAAAATATTCCAAATCTAGATTTTACAGGTCAAAATATTTTTGTGGATTGTATTGAAGGAGAACAAACAAAACACACAAAGAAAGGAGTAATAATAAGCACTCAACTTCTTGAAATTGTGCACACCAATATATTTGGGCCTTTTGATGTTAATTATTTCGAAAAGGAAATATAATTCATCACATTTATCAATGACTACTTTACTACCTGAGAAATATCAAGTAATGGATGCATTGGAAATTTACTTGAGTTAAGAAGAATGGCAATTAAATAGAAAGGAGAAAGTTGTTAGGTCTAATAGAGATGTTGAGTATTACAAAAGATATGATGAAACTAGACACCCAAGTTCATTCGCTAAACTCTTCATAAATATGGCCTTTGTGCACACCACAAAAAATGGTGTATCAAAAAGGTACGATAGAACTTTAATGGATATGGTTAAGATTATCTTAAGAAATTTAGTTTTTCCCATATATTTGTGGATGTATGACTTGAAAATTGCCATGTAATTGTTAAACGGAGTTCCTAGTGTGGTAGATCTAAAGACACCTTTTGAAAATGGATTAGTAGTATACCTAGTTTGGGGTAGCCAAGCAAAAATAAGGATTTCTTATCCACAAGAAAAGTAACTAGATGCAAGAACAATCAATCAATATTTCATTGGTTTTCCAAAAATAAATGGGTATGTGTTTTATTGCCCTAATCATAGTATGAGAATTGTTTAAAATAGAAATGGTAGATTCATTGAAAATGGTGAAATCATCAGGACTACAATTCCACAAAATGTGGAAATTTAAAAAGTTAGAGTGCAAGTTCTTTTAACTTGTGCCTCTAGTAATAAAGCGAGTGTTCTTCTAACTATTGTGCCTAACAACAATGAAGAAAAGCAACACAATAATGAGTACATGATTCATAATGAGCCTATTGTAGAAGAACCACAAGAAGTAACATTAATGAAGTTTCCAAGAGAAAAAAGATCAATTATTTCATATGACTATATGGTATATCTACCTGAGTTAGAAATTGGCTTGAGAATTAATGACAATGATCAAGTTTCATTTTCACAAGTTGATCTATATGTTTTCATGCATATTTGTATTAGATTAATGTAAGCAACTAGCGTTTTAAATATTGATATTGTGTTAGACCCTTTATGTGCTCTTTATTAATGGTCATATTAAGGAGAAGTGATGGAAACTTACTTCCTAAGGTTTCCTTTGGAAGAGATAAGACCAAGAAGGGTGAAGGTTAATGGAGGACCATCCATAGAAATTTCAAAAATCTTATTAGTTTTCTATAATTGATAATCTTATAAAACTAGAACTTACAATCTTTTTTGGATGGAGAATTCATATATTTCCCTTTACCTCTCTCTCTCTTGCCTCTCTCCTACTCTCTATCATCTCTCGCTTCTCTTCCCCTATCTCTTATCTATTCTTTTTCCCTTTATTTTCCTCTCCACCTCTCTTTTCTCTCTATTTTTTTTTCATTCATGTCTATCCTCCCTTTTATTTCCCCTCTCACTTGTCTCTTTGTCTCTAGATATCTCTTTCTTTTTCACCTCTTTAATTTTTTTCTCCCTATTTTTCCTTCTTTCTTTTCTTGACCCTTTCTCTTTTTATTCTCTCTCTCCCTCTCTAATCCCTTATTGTTTTATCTCTTCGTATTCTTCTCCTCCTCTATCTCTTTCTCTCTTTTCTCCTACCTCTCTCTCTCCTCTCTTTTAATGTTGATATAAAAAGTATCAATAATTTTTTAATTATTAATATTTAAAAAACTTTAAATTATTAAATATTTTCTAATTTTCTATTATTAAATTTAAAAATTGACTAATAATTATTTTTATTAAGTTTAATATTAAAATTTTAATATATATATATATATATATATATATATTGAAATACTAATTCTACTTAAACTTACTTCAGTCAATAACTTATGTTCTCATCAAATTTCAACGATCTAACTATTGAATTATAAATTTCTAATACATCAATCAAGTTTGCAAATTTTAAAAAATTAAAAACTATTTAATACTTTGTTTCATTAATTCAAATCAATATATAAAATAATTTATGATTATTCGTCCATTTGAATTATTGAAATGGAGTATTAAATAGTTTCAAGTTTTTTAAAACTTTACAGACTTGATCTATGTATTAAGAACTTTATCCTACTCACTAACTCATATCCTAAATCAAATTTTAATGATTTAACGATTAAATTAAAAAATTTTAATGTATAGATCAAGTTTCAAAATCAATTTTGCCTAAGTGAAAATTAAATAGTCCTATGCGAACTAAGAATTTAAACTTAAGAGATTTGATTTATCTAAACAAAGCATTTAATAAATGATGAAAATTAAAATCAAAGTAATTTAAAATTTAATAAACTCAAATTTTCTGAAGTTTTTAAACACCTTATCTAAACATAGTCTAAGGATTAAATGTCTCTTTCTAATTAAAAGAATACTACGCGGAAAAAAAAAATATTTAAAAAAGACTATAGTACACCACGTGTAGAGTTTGTCCATCAAAAACTTATATGAAATTAGACTTAAAGTCTTTTTGAATACAAGTTTAAAAATGTTTTTAAAATATTTCTATTAAAAATAACTATTTTAAATAATAAAAAAATTTCTCAAAAAGACCTTTAACTTGCATCCAAACATAATTTGAGTGCCCGTGAACTGCTTGTAAATTGATTTTATAGTGTTTTCATAAAATTGAAACATGAACTTAGTTTTAATTAAAATAATAATTAGAAAAATGATTTTCATAGAAAATATTCAGAAACTTGCATTCAAAATTAATGTCGAATGTATATTCACTAAAAATGGATTTGAACATTAGTATTTTCTATGTAAATGTCTTTTGTATTGTAACTTTTATATTAATAGTAATATATACATTCTTAATTAAAAATAAATAGCCAGTTTTGCAATAATTTCAAAAGTAAAATTAATAAATTCAAATATTTACATAATATTCTGGCTTTTGAAGTAAAATGCATATTCTCCAGTAAAAAATTATAAATTAAATTAGCATAACTATCAAATAAATACAAAATAATAGCAACAAGTTTAAAATTTTTTCCTTTACTTAATTGAAATCAACTTTTTTTTTTATTTTTCTTTAATTACATAAAAATATTATTCTTTTTTTTTCTCCTTTTCTTATCCAGACCACCATAGCAAAAGAAAGAGAATTGAATTGTAAAGGTTGTTAAAAAAAATAGATGAAACTGAATACTAACAAATGGATTAGAATAATATCGGAGTTAATCACTTATACACTGACAACTTATACACTGACAGTGTAAAGTTTTTTTACACTAACAACCAATTATATCTTTTAATTGTGTCATGTCACTTTTAAAAGTAAATGTGTTTATAATGACATGACACAATTAAAATATATAATTGGTTACCAGTGTAAAAACAACTTTACATTGACAGTGTATAGATAATTAACTCATAATATTGTAATTCTTATTGACTGAAAAGAATAATGAATAATTATGGTTTGAATGCACATAGATGTACCTATTTGCTACATTAACAATCCTTTTCGGTGAACCTCGGAGACCAATTAAAGAAGAAAACCACAAAAATGAATAAATAACATTCCAAAAGGGAGACTCAATTTTACTCTGATGCAAAAGCTAGTAGGTAGGAGTAGCTTCAAATTAAATCTATGTTACGTTTGAGGGTTAATCACATTTTAACCGAGCCAAGACTCACGTTTGATGGGTGCAAATGTGAAACCAAACACATGAATATAGAATGAGATTTTCTGTTCTTGCACATGCAACATCGTTGATTAGCAACCGGCAATGTTATTTATCAACACAAATCTTGCAATTAACTAATTGTCAGACAAGACAAAGTTGGTGGCAGATTGACACTAGACGAGTTAAGAATATCATAGAGTAAAACTAATTCACATTCAAAAACATTTCATTCAAAAATTGATTAAAGAAAACATAAAGGAATAGGAATAAAGTGTCTCTCCAAAGTCAGGAAAGTGACTGGACTACTTAAGAACGATTGCTGCATTCCTTAGAGCGAGGTATCTTTGAACATACTCGTTAGGAAGCGATCTAATGATCTTGAAAACATCAGCATTTGCATATCGAAGATTAGTCCTGGGATCATAGTAAGGTGCCTGCAGCATAAACAATTGCATGGCATGATTGTCATCATCATCATCAAAATTTATAATTAATTAATTACACAGCCAAGAGTACATTTCACACCAATATATGCATAAATTATTGTTTTAGCCGGTTCAGTTGACAAGATATATTCAAGTTAAGCCTGCATGATAACAAGTTGCTCCGTTGGACAACGCAGCATCGGAATGGCATTTAACAATCCAACGCCAAACTTAACTATGAAAAAAATCAATTTAAAGCATTTCGGTTCAATAGGATTAGAGACAAAACAGATTAAATACGGTTTATCCCGTGATCTCAATTTAGCACTAGTTGTTCAATTATTTTGCAGTATTCCGTCTTAGGATTATGAGGACAAAAATGGGAATTATGAAGTGGAGATAAACAATGATGGATTCCTCTGAAAAAAAAAAAAAATACATTGGCACATGTGTAAAAGAGATGGCTCTACCTATCTAAGCTATAACCCTTGTGTTTATGATACATATTTTATCATAGTATGTAGATAATTTCTTGTTGAGATGAATATTACATGATCTAATCCCTTGAATTGATATTGCATTTGTATTGCTTATAAGTAATATTTTGTTTATAATCAATTGATCTAATAAATGTATACCATCCATTTTCTGAGGCAGGTCAAAAGAACATTTTTGTACTATTGTAATTGTAATATACAAAAACTACCCACCTATTTCCAAGTTCCAACGACAATGTTTCTTAATTTCTGATGTTTATCAACAACTATGCAAAAATTAAACCTTGACCCGACTTGTACTTTTAAATTAGGCCAAGCTAAAGACATTCCACTTCCGAAAATTCTACAATGAAACATGTCTTAGCTTCCCTGTATTTTCAAAATTAAAAATGCCCCTAATGTTCAAGTATGCACTAATGCAAGAAACATAAAGCTCAGATCATAGGAAAAAAGCACACAACACACTAGCACAGCCTCCAAAACGGGTCACAAAACCCAACCTATGAGTCCAGCTGCTACAAGTCCAGATCGGGAAAGAATGCAGATCTTACAATCTCGTGAGTATGATCAGCGATTACACTCTGATCACACCAAGTTCTATCCTAGGAGCAATCTAGCATGGAAAGGATGATCAAACTTGTAGAATCGCACAACCTTCAAGTATGATCACGTTATAGACAAGAATTTACAAGCGACAAGAAATAGATTATGTTAACAAGTTCTGTAAATACAAGTTATAAATATCTTTTAAATGGAAAATAAGCAAACTCCTGCATAGAAGAAGCATTCTCATTTAACCAAAACTTTTAGGTTAAGTTTTTTATTCCAAACAGCGCAATGCGCTAATAATAATGATCAGATCAGAAAAATGTGATTCAACAAGAATAATAAAGATCACCACATACCTCAAAGCCTGTAATATCGCAAATTCTCTTGCATGGATGCATAGATGGTGGAGACTCAATATTGACATCTGCAAGATAATCCGAATAATAAATATATAACTAAAACTCTTTGACAAGAATTGCACACATAACAAGCAAACAAATACTCAAAAACCGGAGCACACAAGGTAGCCTCTGGCACTGAGGTTAAACAATTATTACTCATTCATTGTTTCTTTTATCAAAATAAAAGAAGAAATATTATTAAAGAGAAAAAATAAGTACAATTAGAAGGACAGGAGGAGAACAAAGCCTCCAAAAAGGAGAGGGAGGGTTGAGCAAGTAAAGAAGTACCATAGTGCAGTAAAGCTGCTCAATCACTCTAAATACCAGAGATAAATGCCCTAAAACATTAATGTGCAATCAAACTGAAACCATAAAAAACGTCTTACAGCACAAGGATGTAGGGGAAAATATCTGCCCTTGAAAACTCAGACATTTGATAGATTCAACCAGGTGAAAGAGAAGAAAAATGCAAACAAAACTCAATGTGAAGCAATTATATTAATACCCACTCCAGTCAATGTGACAAGAAGTGTCAAAATGCAATCTTGAGGATAATTTGAGAGATCCTCAACTATTCACTCTCTTTCTAATTTCTTATCTCCTTTGTCTACCTTATTTCTTCCTATTTATGATGCTCTGCTTCTTATCAACCTGCACCAATTTCTGTTAGATGTTTATTAACTGCCTAACTATTTCCCGGTCTTCTTTTTATTCATCCCAAGTCCTGATATATACTAGCCCCTTTTTTTTAATTCCTCCTAACATATACTTTCTTAATAAAAGTTCTGCTATCACATTCTACTCCAACTGAACTCCCCAGTCACCCTCTTTATCCATACCACAACCATAAAAATGACCTCCAATATTGTTACTTTCAAATTTATGGCCAAAACAAAAAAAGCAAACCCTACAACAGACACAGTGCATTGATAAGAAGAGTTTCATCAACCAACAACACAATTATTTCCAAACAATTCACCAACTTCAGCACAGTTAAAATATGAAATAAACAAAAATGACAAATTAATTTTCTCTCTACATATAATATTAATATTAAAATGGGAACCATAGTATAAGTGCTTATTTTTCATATTTTTTTTAAAAAACAACAATATTAATTTCCCAAGTACAGACAATGGGTGTGATAGCTCACAATTGGGTTCATCGGGAGGGTAATTCTGATAATTCTCAGCTTGAATAATCTGCTTAAGATGTTTCCAGTGCCTGCCTCTGGCTTGTCCCTTTGGATATTTCTCATACATTTGAACTCTCTTAAAACTGAGATAGCTTGGCAACACAAGCTCTGCCTCCACTACCTCTGCCTCCATTTTACCCTTCATTAACATGGCAAACAAAAACTCTTCTCAGTAACTAGTTTCTATTCAAATCATGTAGTAAAAAATAGCATAGCATCAAATAAACCTGACATCATAGGAGCTAAAAAGTAAACACCATAGATGTTAACAACCTTACCTAATAGCTGTTAATAATAACTCTACCAGGGCAGGTATGGACTGGCATAGAAAAGAAAACCAAAATAAGCTGGTAAAATAGTTCAGTTTAAAAAACCAAACTAGTTTTACTTTTGCCAAAGAGGTTTACATTTTGGTGAACCAGTTCAAATCTAGTTTTGAACTGGTTTAGGTTCAGAACCGGTTTTGAATTTAAAGCTGGTTTCAAATAGGTTTATAACAAATTCAATATCAGTTAATAACATGCAAAAACTGGTTTTTTCCAAGTGAAAACAGGTTCAAAACCAACATTACTTAGTCATCCATGTTCAAAGGGTTCTCTCTAATAAATATAATGCAACTCAGAAGGAAAACAAAGGAAACAAAACTCTGTTCAACCTTTTATACATATCACTACTGAATTATTGGATTATAAGTTAATGCAACACAACAACCAAGGTATATTAAAAATTATTAGTGTGAAACCATGAATATTTGTTGAGATGACTTTGCTTTTTATTGATGAATTTGCCGACCATTTGGCAGGGTTCCATTGAGACCCCACCAGAAAATTATTAAACATAGTCAGGGTCTTTAAGAGAATTGCCATGGTCAGCACTTAAGCTTGTAAGATATATCTTTCAACTGACCAAAACACAATCACATCAAATAGCATCTCATGGGACTTGTAATAAATAAATATGGCAACATATGACACGAAATACAGAAACATACGCTACCATTAGTCATACATGGATTTGAGATGCCAATGGTCTTTTACTTGCTGATCCCTACTCGGAATCATAAATTTTACTTTTTTACCATGCTTATTATGGTCTAGAGAAACTGAATGAAATTGGGAAGATGTCTGCATTACCACTTCAAAATGCAAACATTTACATGATTCACACAAAATTAGTCAAACAGTCTTCATACCTGTTCTGTGTTATCTGTGAGCAGCAATACTCACCTACAAAATTCCACAAAACACTCCCCACTCTCTTATGTACCAACTCACCAGAAAGGTAGGGACTGTGAAAATCCAAAATGAGAAAATCAGAAAACCCACGATAATAAACAGAAAAATAACACTGAAACACTAAAATTGGTAAATCTATCCCGTACGACAGTAATTGGGTAACTACAAAGAAAATAAGTACTTTGGGGAAGATATAATTTTATCATCAAATCAACCTTTCAAACCCAGTTGAGTAAGAAAATTCATCGATAGCAGAATAAAATGACGGAAATTTACATGACCATGCTAAACTTGCAGAAAATAAATAATATATGCGGAATAGTCGTATTTGCCTATAGTTGAAAATTGGACATGAATATAAAATAAAGGCAAAGAATGAAAGACTCAATTCGAGTACCGCTCACGGAATTACCATGTACCGAAACTGAGAAACTCGTGTGCAGATCAATGAAGAGTATATTCGCCAACACAGTGGCTTCACCAATGGAGCATTGGAGCCATATTTGCGAAATGCAAAGGTTCGCAAGCGATTAGGGTTTACATGCTATGCAGATTTTGAAATTGGGGCAAATAAAAGGACTTCACTCCTTCCATTATGAATCTCAACTTTTTCTTTTTCCCATTTTTCCAACCAGTGTGCTTACTCTAATTATATTTTAGAGTAAATTATATTATATTTTTAAAGATAAGAATATTACATTTTTCTTTCTCTTATATTAAAATATATAATTTAGTTCACTTAATATAAATTATATTTTTCTCATTCATAAAATATAAATATTAGATATTCTATCTTTCATGAAGAGAGATTCTTTTATTCTAGAAATAAGTCTTTTAATAACTCATGTTCTACATCAAATTTTAACGATTCAAACGTTCAATTTAAAGTTCTTAATACATAAATCAAATCCGCAAATTTTTAGAAAATTTGAAAATAATTTGATACTTCGTTTCATTAATTTGAATCAATGTATAAAATGATTTTATGATTATCCGTCGATTTGAATTAATGAAATGAAGTATCAAATGATTTTCAAATTTTTTCAAAAATTTGTAAATTTAATTTATGTATTAAGAACTTTAAATTGAATAGTTGGATTGTTTAAATTTGATGTAGAACATGAGTTATTGAATAGAGTAAGTCTAGGTAGACTTACTCCTAAAGCAAAAGGATCCTTCCTCATCTTTCAAATATTAAAATATAAAATAAATTATATTTATTATATTAACTTAATATTATTAAAAAATTTTAATTTAATTATTTATAAAAAATTATATTTAAATTTAATTACTCTAAAAAAATATGTAATTTTAATTAAAATATATAATTTTAATTAAAATATATTTTAAAATATTTTTAACTTCATTGTCATTCATTTACCGAATTATACTTTTTTAATATATATTTTTTAACATTACATTAATTAAATATAATAAACAATACTTTGTCATAAAATATTAATTTATTTATGTATTATTTAATATTTTACTACTAACATCAATTAAATAATATATTAATTTAACACACACATATATAGAATTAATATTTTATAATGATTAACTACATTGATAAAATAATATCTTACAACTTATATTTGATTTTATTATACTTATATATATTATTTTTATTTTGATATGTAACTTTAAAAAATATTTTGTAAAAAAACTACTGAAAATATATTTTAAGATATATATAGTTAATTTTAGTAAAATTTATAAATTTTTAAACCAATAATTAAATATGTAAATTAAAGATATATTGTTAAAGTGTAGTATGTTTAAATTTTTTAAAGGGAAAATGTTTATAAGAAGGGAGAGTGGTGTAATATTTCTATTTCTGAGGAGATATTACTATAAAGAATGTTTAAGTGATTTTTTTTTGTTATAAAAGTTAACGAAAAATTTAAAAAATGTGTAAAGTATCATGCATTATAATTTGTCGAGAGAGAGGATTGTAATTTTTAACATAAAAGGAGAGGTAGTATAATATTTGTATCTTTTAAGAGAGGGAAGTATAATTTACTCTATATTATATAATTTTAAATTAATAAAAAAATTATTGTATTTTTATTAAAATTAATGTGTTTAAGTTTGTTCTTTTTTTGAAGAATTAATGTGTTTAAGACTTTAAGTTATTAATTATATTTTAATATTTTTAAACTATTGTTATTTTAAAATTATAATAGAAAAGTTAATAATAGAGTGTCTATAGATTAATGTATAGTATTTTGTAGTAAATTTTATAAGAGATAATTCTTGGAGTTTAAGAAATATTTTCTTTAATTTTTCTGAAGTAAATTGCATGTGTGTGTCAGGTGTGTGATTGAAAAATTTAGAAAATTAAATATTAGTTATTACAAAGACGGTCATAGTGAGGATTGAACCTAAGTTCTCATGCTTTTAACTACCTCAACCCCTCCCCACCTAACCACTAGGCTAACCCTAGTGGTCTACTAGATTGAGAAACTAGATATATTATAGGCGACAATATTAGTTGTTCAACCGGTATAAATTGTCTTGCAAGCTTTTTTTTCCTATCTTTTATACATGATTACAATTCTTGATATTTGATGATATATCTATATGATCTACATTGATTGTATTGTTGAAACTCAAATATAAATAATGCATAGAATGAAGTTTGAGAGAATGTACTTTATTTATAAATAAAGGTTGGCTTATATAAGCCTTACAGAAATAGAAAACCAGTAACTCACGTACTGTATGACATTAAAATAGGAATAAATGAAATAGCTAAACCATTATCCTAGAGACTAGTTCACCCCTATAAAGTAGGGAGTTTATTAACATGTGAATAAAACAAAATGCGAAACTAACATGACATTCTTTCCCTTAAGCTACATGCAGCTACTGTATTTAGCTTACTTCAATGGCTTCTACTACCCCAAGCATTCGTCGGATTTTTTCAAATCGATCAAGTTTTAACAACGCCTTGGTCATTATGTCAGCTACTTAGTCATCAGAACAACAATAACTTAATCGAACAACTTGATCATTTACCAGCTCTCTAAGAAAGTGAAATCTCACTCCAATATGCTTACTTCTTCCATGAAAGACTAGATTTTTGGATAATTGAATAGTAGAATTGTTGTCACATAAGATTTCAGTTGCTTCTTTTTCTTCTGATCCAAGATGTTCTAAGATTCTTCTCAACCAAATGCACTCATAGGCTCAAGATGCTGCAGCAATATATTCAACCTCAGTGGTAGATAAACTTACCACAAGCTATTTTTTTGAAACCCATGAGACAGCGCCAGATCCTATCAAAAATACTAAACCAGAAGTGCTCCTTCTATCATCTAAGTCTCATGCATAATCGTTGTCACTATAAGCTATGAGACCACCAATCTTCTTTCTTCTTTGATACAATAGACCATACTCAATAGTGCCTTTGATATATCTTAAAAGTCTTTTTGCTGTAGCCTAATGTGACTCCTTGGGATTTGCCATGAATCTACTAATTAGACTTACTCCAAACATCAAATCTGGTCGGGTGATTGTTAAATTCATGAGACTACCGATTGCTTGTTGGAACTTTGTAACATCTACGACAGCACCTTGATCATCCCTGGATAGTATTGTTCCTAGTACGATGGGATTGCGTACAAAGTTACTTTCTGTCATATTGAATTGAGCTAATACCTCACGAGCATATCAGCGTTGACATATGAAAATCCCTGCAACGTTCTAAATGATTTCTATTCCAAGAAAATGTCTCATTTTTCCCAAATCAGTCATGTCAAACTCCATCTTCATTGAGCTTTTAAATTCTTCACGCATGTGTCTACTAATTCCAGTAAAAATTAAATCATCAATGTAGAGGCTAATAATTAGAATATTACCGTGAAAGCTTCAATTTTGCTATACTAAGCTCGTGAGGCTTGTTTAAGCCCATATAATGCTTTCTTGAGTCGGTATATTTGATTTTCGCTACCCTTCTTGATAAAGCCTGCAAGTTGTTGGATAAACACTTCCTCTTGAAGTTTTCACCGTGTAAAAAAGCACTTTTGAAGTCAAGCTGAAATACTTCCCATGCACCTTGAGCAGCTAGAGCTATTCCATACCTTTGAGCATAGCCTTTTGCCACTAATCTGGCTTTGTGCTTCTCTACATGACCACTTTCATCTAGTTTGGTTTTGAAAATCCATTTAACGCCAATGGGTGTAACCCCTTCTAGAGGATCTACAAGTTCCCATGTGTCACTTCTTTTGATTGCTTTCATTTCTGTATTCATTTGAACCTAACTAAACCAACTCCAAGTTTTTGGATTGGATTAAATATGGAAAAACAAGTGGGCGGCCTAGCTTGTCTTACTTTGACCGAATTGCTTAGTTGACTTGTTCACTTGGGAAGCTTGTGCTACAAGCTTCTAACTTAGCTTGTTTCCCAAGCTTCTAAGTTAGAAGCTTGCTCCACAAGCCTCCTAAACCATCTAGGATGGTCAAGCCAAGCTAACCATGGTTCTCTTGAACCATAGTTATTCTAGCTTGCTCCATAACTTTCCCCCACCCTATATAAATCTTTTTCTTACTTTTGTAATCACTTTTGATGATATTTTTAAGTGAGACCAGAATTTGCACGAAAATTCTCTCTTCCAAAAGTCTTTAACCTCTTTGATATTCATCCAATTCTCTTATCCCTTTCATAGAAGAGTGTGGTGAGAATTGAAGAGACTTATCTCTTCCCCAAGGAGTGGTGTCTTTTGAGAGGGTTCTACACCAAACCGTGGTGCTTCCAAGGTCTTTTCCTCTATTAGAGACCTTGGAGAAGCTTAAGAAGAATCAAGGAGCCAAAGGTCTAGGGAGGAACTTGAAGAGGAATCAACATCAATCTGGTTTCTCAACAATGTTTCCATCATATAACGGTTGTAATATTTATACTAAGATTTGGAGACACTACCTATATGATTCTAAGCTCGAGGTATTTAGTGATCATTAGAGCCTTAAATATTCGTTTGACCTGAAAGAGTTAAATATGAGACAAAAGAGATAGTTGGAATTTCATAAGGACTAGGATTTTAATCTTAGTTGTTATCTGGGTTAAGCCAATGTGGTGGTCGATGCTTTGAGTAGGAAACCTCTACATTTAACTTCCCTTAAGATTAGAGGCATGAACCTTTTGGCTCGGTCTAAGGATTTAAGTTTGACTTGTGAGATTACTCCTAGTAATATGAAACTAGGTATGAATAGAGAAACGAATGGATTGTTGAAGGAATATTGAGAAACATAATTAGTTGATTCATTTTGGTGATAAGACTTGAAGACCGAGTATGAGTACGTAGTGAACTTACACTTAGGCGCTTAATCCTTGGAGAGGGTCATAAAAGTAAAACTAATATTGTGGCATATGCCTTGATTAGGATGACCATTCACCTATTATCTTTGATGATTTAAAGGTTGGATTTGATTGAAGAATTTAGAGACTTAAGCTTGGTGTGTGAGCTTACCCTTAGGAGCATTGAATTGAGTATGTTGAAAGTGACTAGTGAATTAATGGATGAGATTAGAGAAGCCCAGGAGTTAGATCCTTTCTTAGTGAACCAAGTGGAGAGGATTGGTAGGGGTATAGATAGCCCTTTACGAGTGGAAGTTGATGGT